TTTTTTTTTTTTTTTTTTTTTTTTTTGTTGTTGTTGTGTTTTGATGTGTTGTTGAGAGAATAAAAAATTTACCTTAAAATTAAAGAAAAAAAAGAAAAAAAGTGACTGAAACAGGAAGTGGGTTTCTGGTAATTCTGGTCTGGCAAGCTCTAGCTTCGAAAAATGGCGGCTGTTTCTGATTGAAAAAGTGGTTGCCGTCGTGTTTAATCAGATCAGAGCAGCCAATTTTCAGGACTGATGTGTAAGTTCAACAGTGTTTTTTATTAAAATTTTCCCTTTTTTCACGGGTTTGTTTTTTCTTTTCATCGGAATAATCTTCAATCATTTTCATTGTTGTCATTTCTTGAATCTTTGCCTTTTGATTTGAACTATGGAGGGTTTAGATAATGAACATGATTAGTTTAGGTTTAAATTCCTTTGCTTTTCTATTTCTTAGGATTAATCTTCGAAACTTTATATGATACGACTTCTGCACTGATATGATATTATCTATTTGACGTATTGAAAATGGAACGATAAATCCAAACTAGCTTGAAAGTGCATACATTGGCGGACATAGATTGTTGTAAATTGTTTTTTAAGAATCAAGAGCTGTATATACCCGATAGATGAACCAAAAGAAAATATATTCACCCTCGATCGCCTAGAAACATGGTAGCCTGACCAAATATTTTAGCCATTTTTCATTTAGAGGCCACTAAATATGGGTCCATGATAAAGTTGGGTTGAGTATATCCAATTTTATTGTAAGCCCACAGTCATTCAAAGTTCGACCTTGATCATAACTCATGTCCATTTTACTTCGTGAGCAAATTCTCATTTGATATGCACGTGGTAAGCACGCGTAAGGAACTCTTCCCGCGCGTATAGGGCGTGTGAGTCATATTTCCCTTGTCATTTGACCCATATTTGCCAGTTTTCCATCTCGATTTTGATATTAATTTTATTTTTACGTGAGTTAGGTTCCTCTAGGAGATTTCTAGAATTTTTAGACTCCTCTTCCTCTTGCCGGTAATCACTCAAAAAAGCACGTGACAAACCTATAAGTTGCCACAAGGACTTTAAACAAGTAATACTTATTGTGATTGCTAGGACGTACTAGAGTATGCATATTTAGGACTTATATTGGCAAATCTAGATAGGTGTACATATATGGTAAATTATGAAAATTCCTCTGTCTATTAAATGCTTTCCGATTTACAAAATGGAGAATCGAAAACTTGTGATCTATGCTCCAAGTGTTAGATGGATGTTATCTCTCTATTGAGCATGTTTGAATTGTATGTTAAATTGTGTGCTAGATTCAGGTGGATATTTGTATGGATTATCTATGCTTAGTTGACCGATAAGAATATCTCTATAGTAAGCTTACATGAATGTTTAGATCTTAATTTCAGTACTCTAAGTGATTGATACAATATCTTCCTAGTAAAGAATGCATTTATTAAGATAAGATTAGGGTGGTAGAGCTAGAACAGTTTATATATTGACTATGGTCAGTATGTTTTTTTAGTAGACCAAATACCCTAGGATCGTGAGCGACAATTAGAGACTTAGATGCACCCAGAGATTTGGTTTAACCACATGGAGTTAACCCCAAGCAACCTGGAAACTAGTTGAGATTTAAACCGCTTGAACGCTCTAGAACGTAGTAAATCTCCACGGCATCCAAGAAAAACTAGGAGAACTGATAAGACTGATGGTAACGTGAATGGAACAACTTGAGAAGTCGCTGTTGTGTGTAGTATATAACCTACCTTAATAGGGGGCGAGAGACTACATAAATAGTTTACCCGAAGACTCGTTATTGCATGTAGGACATATCCTGCCTTGAGAGGGGATGAGGGACTACATGAATAGAAGACATAAGGAACTGTTACTATATATACTATAACCCACATTGAGAGGGGACGAGGACTACATAAGTAGATAATGTGGGGAACTACTACCATAGGTATGATAAATTGCCTTGAGAGGGGATGAGGGATTGCGTAAGTAGATAACATGATGAACCGCTACGATGTGTATAATAATCCAACTTGATAGGAGACGAGGGACTACACAAGTAGCTAGTTGAGGATATACTATTGTGTATGGGACAAACCCACCCTAAGAGGGATCGAGGGACTACATAAGTAGTATATAGAAGAGCTATTATTGTGTGTGAAAGAAACCCACTCTAATAGGAGATGAGAGACTACATAAATAGTATAGCTCATGATAGGCACCACTATGGTGTATGGTAATAGTTAAGAGATTCTTGAACTAGGCTCAAACTTCTTTGTTAGATCTCACATCAATTAGAAGGGAGAATGAAACATTACTATAAGGGTGTGAAAACCTCTCCCTAATAGACGTGTTTTAAAACCATGAGGCCGACGACGATACGTAACGGGCCAAAGCGAACGATATCTGTTAACGTTGGGCATGAATTGCTACAAATGGTATCAGAGCCCGCCAATGGTCTAAGTAGGGCTACATTCTCTCCATAATATATGCGTTTTATTTTTTAGGTACCGGTTGAAGTGGGGAAGCACTTGAGAGTTGTACCGTCACAGAGAGGTATCGACCCGGGCGTCAATGTTTATGTGTATTCTTTTTTGGGTTGTCATTGCATTCGTTTTGTATCCCGTGTTTAGTAATTTTTTTAATTGTTTACTTTATTTTACTTTTATTTTATTTTATTTCTTTATATGTTCCATCTTTTGGTGGCAATCCGATCGTAACATTCGGGATAATCCAAAACAGCTGTTCTTTTTTGTAATTTTTCCCAACCAGTAAATTATTTTTTGTTCTTGTTTGGCCCTTTTTTGTTTATGGCAAAGGAACAACATGCATTGGTACTCACTTCATCGAATTCAACATATTTTATTATTTTTTCTTTTTTGGCCTTCTTTGTTTCAAATAAAGGAACCAACACCGTTTCAACTCCATTTTCAATTCCAATTCAATGTATATTTCAATGTATTTGAATTGAGAGACCATCACAATATGGTTATCTCTTAATAACTATTGAATAAAATATGGAAAGAAACATAAAATAGTTATTAGACCGAGTTTTCAAATTTAAAAATATCATACGACAGTCCAAATTCATACTGTCTTCGTTGAATTTTTCCTTTCAAATTTCCTCTTAAGCTTTTTAAAACGCGTATGCTACAGAGAAGTTTCTACACCCTTACAAAGAATGTTTCGTTCCCCTCTCCAACCAATGTGAGATCTTACAATTCACCCTCCTTCGAGACCTAGTGTTCTCGTTGACACTTGTTCCTCTCTCCAATCGATGTGGGATCTCACAATCTACTCCCCTTCGGAGCCAAACATCCTCATTGGACACTGCCTGGTATCGACCCCCATTCAGGGCTCAACATCCTCGTTGGCACACCGCCCGGTGTCTACTCTGATACCATTTGTAATAACTCAAGCCCACCGCCAGCAGATATTATCTTTTTTGAACTTTTCCAACCTATCTCTAATAGACTTGTTTTAAAAACATTGAGAAAAAGTCCTGAAAGGAAAAATTCAAAAGAGACAACCTAGTAATGAATGTGAGCCGTTACATACGGATAAGTAACGGTAATGTAACGTAAGATAAAAGGAGTTATAATAGGCAACTAAGTAACAAAAATCCAATCGTACATAAAACTTTTTGCAATTTGACATTAGGCATAATTACATCAAACCATTATCATTGTGTGTGGTTGCATGAACTCGAGATAAGTTCTAATTTGATAAATCTCTATAAACAAATCTTTATAATTGGAATATTATAGGCGTATCTTATTTCAAATATTCAAAATAAAATTCACACCTTACATAATCATAGAAGTCGAATTTAACGATCATTAACGTAACTGTATGTTAAATGGCTTTTAACACTTTGCTAAATAAGTATAAAAAACCATATATATATATATACATATATATATAGACACACACATATGTAACATAAATTCCTCAAATGGGAAATTGTTGGAAATCATTAATGTCGGAGAATATTCCATTTTGTTATAAATTTTACACCAAATTGTGGAAATGAGAAATAATTTCAATGTGATTATCATGTTTTAAATTATTAAGTATTCATATTAGCGATAAAATATAACATTATTACCATGCAAACCTATTTGGAAAAGAGGATAATACATAGTTTTGAATAAGTATTTTTATATTTCCAAATTTACCCTTCTTGCCACCTTATAAATCTCCGGAATTCCCACCTCTCAAATCCACTCAATTTCTTAGTGTTATTACCTTCTCAAATCTCTCTCCAAGGCAACCAATGGCGCTGAATTGCATGAACGCAACGGAATCCTCACCGGCGTTGAACCAAGTGAGGAATAGGGAGTACCGACCGGCATTTTGTGGCTCCGACGAGTCAAAGATACCGGAGGATTTCATTTGGCCAGAAGAGTTTAAGGCGGCGGAGGTGGTGCCGGAGCTGCATGTTCCACATATTGACTTGAAGAAGTTTTTTAGTGGCAATGAAAGTGACGTTGAAGAGGCGACGAGGCTGGTGGATGAGGCTTGTAGAAAACATGGATTCTTTGTGGTGGTGAACCATGGAGTTGATATGGAATTGATGAAAGGTGTTCATGAGTGTATCGATGAGTTCTTTACAATGCCTTTGGATGTGAAGCAGAGGGCTCAAAGGAAGGTAGGTGAGAATTATGGATATACTAATAGTTTCATTGGGAGATTCGCGTCCAAGCTTCCTTGGAAGGAAACCTTTTCCCTTCGCTGTGTGGCTGCTCAAAACTCCTCCGCTGCTCATGACTATGTTCTTGACACTTTAGGCTCGTCATTCTCCCATCATGGGTATCTAAATTCCACTATCTCTACCTATGCCTATTTAATCCTTACACTTTTTTTAATTGTTTGATGGTGTTTTAGGAAGTTGTATCAAGAGTGTGGGATAGCATTGAACGAGCTTGGTATGAAGATTGTGGAGCTTTTGGGGCTGAGCCTTGGCATTTCAAGAGAATGCTTCAAGAATTTCTATGAGGACAATGATTCAATATTGAGGCTTAATTATTACCCGATATGCGAGAAGCCAGAATTGGTGTTGGGAACTGGCCCTCATAGTGATCCTACCTCCATCACAATCCTTCACCAAGACCATGTTAGTGGCCTTCAAGTGTTCGTAGATGATCAATGGTATTCAATTCCTCCAACTCCGGATTCCTTTGTCATCAACATTGGTGACACTTTCATGGTATGTATATGCAACACAAAATTAGAATTAGGGTTTCTTCAAGATCTCTTGCGATATTGTCCACTTAGAATATAAGCTCTCATGACTTTGCTTTAAGCTTCCCAAAAAGACCTTACGTCAATTGAGATATATTCCAATTTCTTATTCATAGACCCATGATCTTTTTCTAGATCTTTCTCTAAATTAGCTAACTAGCTAACGTGGGACTTCCTGCCAATAATTCTCGGCATTAACATTAGGGTTTTCATTTTTCATATGAACTTGACTAGTTTTGAAATGGGTTGTTTTATTTTTTGTGTTTGAAGTCTCTGACAAATGGGATTTACAAGAGCTGCTTGCACCGAGCAGTAGTGAACTGCAAGGAATCAAGAAAATCATTGGCGTTCTTTCTATGTCCAGCGCATGACAAAGTGGTGAGAGCACCGGAGGAGTTGGTTGAGAAGAATCCACCAAGGAATTATTCAGATTACACATGGGAGATGTTGCTTAAAATGACCCAAAAGGATTACAGGGCTGATTTCAAGACTTTGGAAGCCTTCATGGCTCGTGTTCAAAAGGAAAAGTCGTTGGAGGACACTACCTCCCCAGCTGCGACGTCTGCTTAAACCAATCTTAACTATCTCTCTATCTATGCCAACAAAGTGTTCATTCATGAGCTTTGTTGGGATTGAATGAACTTTGTTGGGAAAAAGAAGATCACTTCATGTTCGTTTTGTGTTTAGTTAATGTACACAATGCACATGTTTACGCTTTGCTCATCTTTTGTTCTGTTGGTAGATATAAATGTTTAAAAGCTTTCAATTTCTAAATCATTATCGATCTCTTTAAATTTATATGTTCTTCAAATATCTAATATTTTTGATCAACCATCATATCTAAAATGAATGGTAAAGATGAATAGAGTTCGTATCTAATAAACTCAACTTAAACCTAGGCATACCTTTGAATATTTTTTAATTGTCAAGCTATTTTTGTATCTTTTGAAGTAAACAAAAGCCCATACTTAGTGTGTTCATGAAATTTTCAATTTGGTATTTAAATAGATTCTTAATATATTTGATATTTTTTTAATTTATAAACTTATTTGTGAAAAAATTATGGATATATAAATGAAGGATAAGATATTTATTTGGTACGAGACATTTTTAGAAAATAAAAAACAAAATTCATTGTTCCATTGTTATTAAATACAAAAAGACAACCATATCTAAATATCCCATTACATAATAAAGCTAAAAATAAACTACATAAATTAAATAAAATGACCCTCAACCCATGGGGGTGTTCTTTTTTTTTTTTGGATGTGGTTCTAGTTAAGTCTATATACAAGATCATTAGAGATTGGAGGTTAGTTGAAGATAAATCTCACCTAGTTGGCGAACTCTACTCACAGCATCATTTAGTCACCCAAGTTGGGGGAGTGACTCTTCTATGCTTGTCAGTTACTACGACTACCAACATAATCCTATGTCTCCTCTTTGGGGGCACATTTGTGGTTTGGGGCACATTTGTTGTGTAGGTAATCCAACTTAAATGTTGGTCACACAACCCTAACTCGCCTTGGCTTGACAGCAATGGTATCGAGTGAAAAAGAAAATGGGAGCTCTGTTGACATCGTACCAATATGGCTTGGAGGTTACCTTTGTCGGCTTACTTTGCTTATGCATTGAATGAACGGTGAATTGGGTTGAGGCGCGACCTTGTACACTATAGAAATAGTATGGTGTCTGCTAGTTTGAATATCATTCATGGAAGGTTAGTTGGTAGAGGCCTTGCTCAGGAGACCGCTGGCCATTTCCACATGGTTGGGCACCTAGTCATCTCGATGCACCTCCCCTATCTGGCTATGCCTACCTCAATGGTATAGGAATAAGAGTAGAATCTTGACGAAATGTGTACCGGAGTGGATAGGTAGCGAAGACCTTGATACCCTCACACTGCTAACAACCTGAAGAACTTTCGTGGTCATGCTTGGATGCCATGGAGGATTACTAAGTTTTTAGGAGTCTAGGTAGTTTAAATCTCATCTCTCGTTTCTAGGACACTCAGAGTTAGCTCCTCAAGCCTAATCCAAATATGTAGGTGTACTCAGGTTTACTGGAAATATTTTGACCTAGGTCAACGTGTAAACCGCACTAATTGTAGCGCCTCAATCTTATCTGAGTTTTCTCATGCATGCTTTGCTAGGGAGATATACCTATCAATCACTTAAGCGCGTAATCCATAATTTAAACTTCACCTTGGTCATATTTGGGAGCTTAGAAGATCTATTGGATTCCTAGGGTGACTAGGTGGTTTTATATGGACTTCTGGCTCTAGGTTGTTCTGCTTTGACTTCTCGAGACTTTTTTAGTCTGAGAGCACTAGGGTCTAGACCTTTTGACAGTTGCTCACGATCTTACGATGCTTAGTCTATTGAAAGCATCATGACCAAGATCATTGTCTAGCCAACCTAACTCTAACCTTATCTTTTGAAAATGGTCCACAATATATATATATTTCACTTCATTGTCTGCTTCTTTATTCTACAACACCATTTCTAAAATTCATTTTAAACAACACTTCAGCTAAAAGATAATAGCTAGACACATGAAGGCACTCGTGGACGATGATGGAGAACTTAGCTGAAAGAAGGGAAAAGAACATTAAAAAAAAAAAATCATCTAAAAGTAAAACAAAAAACTTGAAGAACAAAACGACAAAGGACTAAAGAATGTCCAAACTAAACAAGTGAGAGCATTCAAGAATATGGAGACACATTGAAAAATGTTAAAGCATGCAGATATGAAGAAGGACATCGGGAGAGATGAAAATTAAATGTTTTCTTAAGATACATGTCCGAGTGACAAAACTCTTGGACATAACTTGTAGTTACATCAAACGAATCTCGAATTTTTATGGATTTATAAATAAGAAATATATTTTCATTGGTACGAGACCTTTTGGAGAAGCTCAAAGTCACGAGAGCTTATTAGAGTCATTATTCCTAACAAATTTTATCACTCTATAAATGTCCCGAAATCCCACCGATCAATTCCATTCAGTTTGTTAGCTATCATCCTCTCTTACTTATTCTCCCTTCTCAAATCTCTCTAAGAAAGGAAAAAAAAACTATTTTTTTCTTTGCATACAATGGCTTTCAATTGCAAGATGGCAACCAAATCCTCATTATCCGCTCACTTAAACTTGAACCAGGAGATGAAAAGGGAACGCCGTGAGACATTTGGGGGCTCCGACGGGTCAATGGTGCCGGAATATTTCATTTGGCCGGACGAGTTTAAGGGATCGCAGTTGCTACCGGAGCTACATGTTCCACATATTGACTTGAATAAGTTTTTGAGTGGCGATGAAAGTGATGTCGAAGAGGCAACGAGGCTGGTGGATGAGGCTTGTAGAGAACATGGGTTCTTTGTAGTGGTGAACCATGGAGTTGATATGGAATTGATGAAAGGTGTTCATGAGTGTATCGATGAGTTCTTTACAATGCCTTTGGATGTGAAGCAGAGGGCTCAAAGGAAGGTAGGTGAGAATTATGGATATACTAATAGCTTCTTTGGGAGATTCGCATCCAAGCTTCCATGGAAGGAAACCTTTTCTCTTCGCTGTGTTGCTGCTCAAAACTCCTCCACTGCTCGTGACTATGTTATTGACACTTTAGGGTCAACATTCTCCCATCATGGGTATCTAAATTCCACTATCTAGTTTGATAAAATTACTAGCTATGTCTATTTAATTCATATCTTTTGAAGTTTCTAAATTTTTCATTTTTTCTAATCCATATTTACTAATAATTGGTTTTGACCTATTTTTTTAAGAAGGGTGAGGTGGGTTGATTTTTTAATATAATTTTTAAAAACTTAAGATGTCACGATAATATGATATTGTCCACTTATATTGAATATAAGTGGACAAGACTTCCTCCCAACAATCCTTCCCTTAGGCCTAATGGGGCCCTTGAACAACCTCTTATTAATCGAGGCTCGAACCGCCCTTTAATAACTTTTGACTATACTTTTGAGGCTCACAACTTCTTTGTTCGACATTTGAAGATTCTATTGACATGACTAAGTTAAGGGCATCATGTTAGGAACTACGAATCTCCACAATGGTATGTTATGAATCACGTCATGACTTTGCTTTGGGTTTTCCCAAAAGACCTCATACCAATAGAGATAGTATTACTCACTTATAAATCCATGATCTTCCACTAAATTAACCAATGCAGGACTCAATCCCAATAATCCTCAACAATCCAATTCTCCTCTTAATCGAGGCTCGACTCCTTTCTTTGGAGCCCTCGAACAAAGTACCCTATTTGTTCGACACTTTAGTCACTTTTGGCTGCACATTCGAGGCTCACAATTCTTTATTTGATATTTGAGAATTCTATTGACATGACTAAGTTTAGAGCATGGCTCTGATACCATATTATGAATCATGACTCTCTACAATGGTATGATATTGTGCACTTTGAGCATAAGCTCTCATGGGTTTGCATTGGGCTTCCCCAAAACGCCTCGAGATAGTATTCCTCCCTTATAAACCCATGATCTTCCACTAAATTAACCAATGTGGGACTCACTCCCAATAATTCTCGAACAATTCTCAACAGAAAAGATACTAGTTGAACTTAAAATTTAATTCAATTAAAGGTGGGAAGTGAGGTTTGAATAGGTTTGATGGTGTTATAGGAAGGTATATCAGGAGTGTGGGAAAGCATTGAACGATCTGGGCATGAAGATATTGTTAGGAATCACGACTCTCCACAATGGTATGATATTGTCCACTTTGAGCATAAGCTCTCATGGCTTTGCTTTGGGCTTCCCCAAAAGGCCTCATACCAATGAAGATAGTATTCCTCACTTATAAACCCATGATCTTCCACTAAATTAACCAATGTGGGACACTCCCAATCCCAATAATCCTCAACAATCCTCCCCTCGAACAAAGCACACTATAAGCCTCCCCTGAGGCTTATGGAGCCTCGAATAGCCTCCCCTTAATTGAGGCTCGACTCCTTCTCTGGAGCCCTCGAACAAAGTACACCATTTGTTCGACACTTTAGTCACTTTTGACTACACCTTCGAGGCTCGCCATTCTTTGTTCGATATTTGAGGATTCTATTGGCATGGTTAGGTTTAGGGCATGGCTCTGATACCATGTTAGGAATCACGACTCTCCACAATGGTATGATATTGTCCACTTTGAGCATAAGCTCTCATGGCTTTGCTTTGGGCTTCCCCAAAAGGCCTCATACCAATGAAGATAGTATTCCTCACTTATAAACCCATGATCTTCCACTAAATTAACCAATGTGGGACACTCCCAATCCCAATAATCCTCAACAATCCTCCCCTCGAACAAAGCACACTATAAGCCTCCCCTGAGGCTTATGGAGCCTCGAATAGCCTCCCCTTAATTGAGGCTCGACTCCTTCTCTGGAGCCCTCGAACAAAGTACACCATTTGTTCGACACTTTAGTCACTTTTGACTACACCTTCGAGGCTCGCCATTCTTTGTTCGATATTTGAGGATTCTATTGGCATGGTTAGGTTTAGGGCATGGCTCTGATACCATGTTAGGAATCACGACTCTCCACAATGGTATGATATTGTCCACTTTGAGCATAAGCTCTCATGGCTTTGCTTTGGGCTTCCCCAAAAGGCCTCATACCAATGAAGATAGTATTCCTCACTTATAAACCCATGATCTTCCACTAAATTAACCAATGTGGGACACTCCCAATCCCAATAATCCTCAACAGATATTGGAGATTTTGGGGCTGAGCCTTGGCGTTTCAAGAGAATACTTCAAGAATTTCTATGAGGACAACGATTCAATATTGAGGCTTAATTATTACCCACCATGCGAGAAGCCAGAGGTTGTGTTGGGAACTGGCCCTCACACTGATCCCACCTCCGTCACAATCCTTCACCAAGACCATGTTAGTGGCCTTCAAGTGTGCGTTAATGATCAATGGTATTCAATTCCTCCGACCCCAGATTCCTTTGTCGTCAACATCGGTGACACTTTCACGGTACGTCACACAAAATTACAATTAGGGTTCTTTATTTTTCATCTTCCTTCTTCTAAACTCAACTAATTTTGAAATGGGTTGTTTGTTTTTTGTGTTTTGAAGTCTCTCACAAATGGGATTTACAAGAGCTGCGTACACCGAGCTGTAGTGAATTGCAAGGAAGCAAGAAAATCAATGGCCTTCTTTATATGTCCAGCGCATGACAAAGTGGTGAGAGCACCGGAGGAATTGGTGGAGAAGAACCCACCACGAAAGTATCCAGATTACACATGGCCAATGTTGCTTGAAATGACCCAAAAACATTACAGAGCTGATTGCAACACTTTGGAAGCCTTCACAACTTGGATTCAAAAGGAAAAGTTGTTGGACACTGGCTGCACTATTACCCCGTCTGCTTAAACCAACCGTAACTATGTCTCTCTATGTATGCCAATAAGTTGTTTGTTTATGAGCTTTCTAGGGAAGAGGAACATCGTGTAGCGTACGGTCTCTGTCTGTCTTCTGTGTTGCTGGACGTTGCAGAAAAAAATCCCCTTAGTATACACATATTTCACTTTTCTTATCTTTTATTCTGTTCTATGCTAGTGATGTGCATGTTTGACACTTTACATTTAAACCAAAATCAAACCCTAAACAACCTCCACCATTTTTGTGACATGATTAAAACATCTTATTTGGTATCAATTTCTTACTTTACATTTGAATGAATGTTATGGTAAAATTACTATTCTACCCCTAGGTTGAGATTTCCATGAAACATGATGTGTTGTATATTATGCTATGTTAGAAAGAGAGTATGGATGATTATATGGATGAATGCATTATGTATGAGGTAGGAAATAATATGGATGAGTGCATTATGTATGAGGTAGGAAATAATATGGATGAGTGCATTATGTATGAGGTAGGAAATTACCAAAATGTCCTCTATGATGAGATTTATGATGAATGTGGTTTTATATGCTTTCCTTTTAGTTAGAAAAGAGGATGGGCTCTATGATTTTGCTTTCGGTGATTGATGGGTGCTATCTCCCTATTGAGCTTGCTTGCTTGTATGTGTGCATAATATAGTATTTGTTAGCTCCAAGTGTGTACTCTCTGTAGAGCGCGTTTATTTGCACAAAACTAGGGTGTTACAGTTAGGTTGGCTAGACTATGACCTAGGTCAGGATGCCTCCAATAGACTAAGCACCTCAGGATCGTGAGTGATAGTTAGGAGGTCTAGACCCTAATCTCCCATATTAAGAAAGACTTGAGAAGTTGGAGCAGAAAAACTTGGAGCCATAAGTTCGCATCACTATCAAGATGAGCCCAAAGAACAGGAGAGAGAAAATTCAAGGAAGAATATTTGCTAAATGTTGTATGGATGACTTTGTGTGTACAAGAATAGAGAATACAAAGAATGAAGAACTATTTCAATTTACTAAATATAGCTTTTAAAGATTTAACCAATCTAATCTACCAAATATATCTCAATCTTTACCAAATATCTACAGTATATATCTCTACTAGATCTTTACAAAATATCTATGTTATATTTCTACTTGATCTTTTACTGTATATAGGCATTAGGCTCCATATCTCAACAAGAATTAAGCCACCCAGCTCTAGGAATCCAATAGACCTCCTCAACTCCTAGATGCGACCAAGGTGACGTTTAAATTATGGATTATGCGCTTAGGTGTTCGATAGGTATATCTCCCTAGCAAAGCATGCATTAAAAATCTCAGTTAAGATTAGGGTGCTATAGCTAGTGCGGCTTACACATTAACCTTGATAGGTATATCTCCCTAGCAAAGCATGCATTAGAAATCTCAGTTATGATTAGGGTGCTTTAGCTAGTGCGGTTTACACATTAACCTAGATCAAAACATTTTCAGTATACTTTACACCCTATCGTGAGTGACAATTAGAGGTCTAGATCTGAGTGCACCTAGAGATTTGGATTAACCTTGAGGAGATAACCCCAAGCGTCCTAAAAACTAGCGATGAGATTTAATCTGCCTAGGAATCCATAAGAAGCTAGTAGTCCTCCACGGCAACCTACGTAGTTCTTCAAGCTAATAGAAGTGTGATGGTGTCATCAGAATCTCCGCTACCTATCCACTCGAATATCCATTCTTGGGGGACGGGGGGACGTGGGACCACATAGGTTGACCGAGTAGTTTTCGACACATAGGGATCGCTCCACCCAAGCTTCAGTGACTTAATGGTCTCAGGAAAGGGTCCGCCAACTAACCTTCCATGGATGATGTTCAGATTAGCTGACACCATTTTGTCCCCACAAAGTATACTAGGTCATGCCTCAATTCAAGTCACCGGTCATTCACTACATTATCAAAGAGAAGAAAGATTGTAGCAACTCAGAAAGACAAAGGTAACCACATACCATTAATAATTGGTATAGCGTCGACATAGCTTCCACTTCCTTTTCCCCTCCCGCATTAGTGTTGTCGAGCTAGGCCAAGATCGGTTAGGGTTGTGTTACCGACAGCTCAATTGGATTGTTTTGCACACAATATCCATTCTCCATTCTGACAAGAAATGTAAAATTATGCATGTAGCCTTATTAGTTGACCAGTATTGTAATCATTTACTTAAAGATAATAGCTTTCCATTTGTGTCAAGAAGGCAATTGGAGAACTTAGATGGAAGGTAAAAAAAAAAAAAAAAAACATAGAAAAGCATGTAAAATGATCAAGAAAAGGACGAAAATTAGAGAAGATCCGAAGAGAGCATGCAAGAATATGGTGATACATTGAAAAATGTTAAGCATGCAGATAGGAAAAAGAACAACTCAGAGAGAGAGATGAAAATTAAATGACTTAAAGAAACAAAACAAAGGAAGAGACAAAATCAGAAAATAAAGACACTTTTAAGGTCAGATTTAAAAGGGATTTGTTAATTTGATTCTCATCCCCTTTCAGAAAATCATAAGAGTTTTAGATTATGAGTACTTTGGAAGAAGTGACAAGTATGTGTTGTAAGATGCATGTGAGGAGGAGAGATAAAGACAATCCCAAATTCCCAATTTACCCTTCTTGTCACCCTATAAATCTCCTCAAATCCCACCCATCAAATCCATTCAGTTTCTTCCCCATCATACTCCCTTCTCAAATCTCTCTCAAGAGGGAATTTCTTTGAATTGCAAGATGGCAACCGAAACCTTATTATCCGCCAACTCAGACGTGAACCAGGAGACGAAAGGGGAGTACCGTGGGACATTTGCGGGCCCCGACGAGTCAAAGGTGCCGGAGAGTTTCGTTTGGCCAGATGATCTTAAGGGATCGCAGGAGGTGCCGGTGCTGCATGTGCCACATATTGACATAAATAAGTTTATGAGTGGCAAGGAAAGTGATGTTGAAGAGGTGACGAGGCTGGTGGATGAGGCTTGTAGAAAACATGGATTCTTTGTGGTGGTGAACCATGGAGTTGATATGAAATTAATGGATAGTCTTCATGAGTGTATGAATGAGTTTTTTTCAATGCCTATGGATGTGAAGCAAAGGGCTCATAGGAAGTTCGGTGAGAATTTTGGATATGCTTATAGCTTCTTTGTGAGATTCTCCTCCAATCTTCCATGGAAGGAAACTCTTTCCCTTCCCTGTGTTGCTGCTGGTGAAAACTCCTCCTCTGCTTATGACTATCTTATTGAAAAATTAGGCTCATCATTCTCCCATCATGGGTAAGTAAATATCTACTAATAATTGGTTTTGATCTTTTTTTTAAGAAGTGTGAGGTGGGTTGATTGTTAATGTAATTTTTATATACTTAATTGAATTAAAGGTGGGAAATGAGATTTGAATAGGTTTGATGGTGTTTTAGGAAGGTGTATCAAGATTGTGCGAAAGCAGTGAACGATCTGGGCATGAAGATATTGGAGGTTTTGGGGTTGAGCCTTGGCGTTTCAAGAGAATACTTCAGGAATTTCTATGAGGACAATGATTCCATAATGAGGCTTAATTATTACCCACCATGCGCGAAGCCAGAACTTGTGTTGGGAACTGGCCCTCATTGTGATCCCACCTCCATAACAATCCTTCACCAAGACAAGGTAAGTGGCTTTCAAGTGAGCGTCGATGATCAATGGTATTCAATTCCTCCAACCCCAGATTCCTTTGTCATCAATATCGGTGACACTTTCAAGGTATGTGTGACACAAAATTACAATTAGAGTTCTTCATTTTTTTCATCTTCCTTGTTCTAAACACAGCTCTTTTGAAATGGGTTGTTTTATTTTTTGTGTTTTGAAGTCTCTCACAAATGGGATTTACAAGAGCTGCGTACACAGAGCTGTAGTGAATAGCGAGAGTGTAAGAAAAACAATGGCTTTCTTTATATGTCCAAATCATGACAAAGTGGTGAGAGCACCGGAGGAATTGGTGGAGAAGAATCCACCACGAAAGTATCCAGATTACACATGGGGAACGTTGCTTGAAATTACTCAAAAGCATTACCGACCTGATTGCAACACTTTGGAAGCCTTAACAGATTGGATTCAAAAGGGAAAACCGTTGGACAATGGCTCCACTATTTCTGCCCCGTCTGCTTAAACCTACCTTAATTATGTGTCTTTGTAGCTCTACTTCTCTATGTATGTCAATAAGTGGTTCTATGTTTATGAGCTTTCTAGGGAAGAAGACCATCGTGTAGCGTTCTGTCTAATGTCTTTCTTCTGTGTTGCTGGAAGTTGCAGGAAAAAAAAACCCTTTAATATACACATGTTTCCTTTCGCTTATTTTTTGTTCTGTTCTATGATAGTGATGTGCATGTTTGACACTTTCCATTTAAACCAAAATCAAACCTTTATACATTTAAATGAATTAAATACTTGTTGAATGATTAAAAAAGTTAATGGCATACATAAATGAAGTTTGTGAGTTAGAAAAAAAAAAAATTGTTAATTCTTTTCGGGAGAATTAACAGTTGCTAATTTGGGGAGAAAGTTTGAAAAATTTTCCACCCTAAATACTAATCACATGTATCTTCTATTCACAACCAAAAAAAAAAAAAAAAAAAAAA